TCTGGTCGCAATAGCCGGCGTGATGAGAGCGTGGTGCTTTGCAACCAGCTCAAAAAGGTCCCCACCTTCATAGTATGGAAAGACAATAAAAGGAGAGGAACGCTCGTTAAATACAATCATTTTAACCAGAGATGGATGGTCCAAGTTCTAAAGATAAAAAGAAAGTGTGTTAAAACTTTGCTTTCGCATAAACATCCATGGTACAAATACTTACTTTGAGAATATTAATTTCGTGTAACAGACTTGCAGTGGCAATCTCAATGCCATGAGGGCTACTAGTGTCGGCCGTTTTAATTACTGCCCTCTCGCCAGTGCTGATGTCTTCTGCAAGGATAATTTTGCTGAACGCGCCGTGTCCAAGGACTTTTAGTTCGTAATAGGAGGTTGGAACCCCATCCGAGTTAAACGCGGTATATATTTGGCGTCTTGGTACTGATCGCGGATCTAAGTTCTCATAGGACTTGAAAAGTGAATAGGAACAATGCTCCTCTATACTGGGTGCTGTCATTATCGTACTTTTATATAACAGAAGAAGGGTTTAACAAAAATGCGGCAGAAGTTTCTTGAAAAGAGAATCTTCAACGGGATGAAAATCCCCATCTTCGTGTGGGGATTTTATAATATTTATATCTAAAGTTCAGATAATATGTTCTGTTTAAGGGACACTTAGAAACTGCCCGGTTGGATCTATTGTTCGGCGATTGAGGCGATTTGAGCTTTGTGATCTTATTTCGTATTCTTTGTCAGGCTTTAAATGGAACGTTGGAGAACGGTATTTTGATAAGATATGTAATCTTTGTGACGCCGGATTCCAAATCAGAAATCCACAATACAGGTTGCAGGCGGGGAGACTGTAAGAATAATAGAGTAAATTAAAGCGCATGGAGCCCGCGGAGTCATTTTGCCATCATAGTTAACATAATTAACGACTAGCCTTGAGTATACATTGGGATGTTACCCCTGTTTTTCTTTTTTTTTTTTTTTTTGTTCAAAAAGTCCATTCCGCAGCACAGATGGCCGTGATCTTGTGACTTGTTCAACATGTGCGTGTGTAAGCCAATTAGTGTCAATTAGTCAACCTTTCCAGGTAATTAATCGATGTATATGGATGAGAAGCGAAATCCAGCCTCGTTATCCCACTTGGGTAGTCGAATAATATTCCATTCTAGAAAATGTAAAAAAAGTGAATCCTACCTCAAGATCAGTGCTGGTACAATGCTAATGGCTACACAAGGTCTAAAACGGCACTCAACAATGAAACGAGAGGGAAATGATTTAAGACATGTACATATATCTTAATATTTAACGTGCAAGTCTCATATACTTATTTAGTAAGGTTGCACCCTGCAGAGCCCACCCAATCCATGAATGCAACGATAAACTGATTACGATGAACTTGCATGGCTTGGATGTAGTCTACGAGAATTAAATTATTTAATGGAGCCAACGGGGTCTTAGAACACTAAACGTCAGCAAAAAGAATTTTATTTTTCTTATTTTGGAGTGGTACGCAAGACAGCCTATTGGACCTGAATCATAGGCCTTGAAATAAAGAGGTTAGTAGTGTCGCAGATATAACAAGAAGCAAACAAAAAATTGCCACTGTGACGTACAGTTTTTAATATTAGCTGGACATGACAGACAATCCACTATTTCTAGAAATAAAAATATTTCAGTTAACAAATCTTAATGTTTAGGAAATGTAAGAAAAAAGGGTTTCAGCCAAGTTTTAAGCCTTCTTCGTTTATAAGAATTTCGTTTGATAACTGTAGATCTCAATAAAAAACAAAACCCTTCGAGGCACAGCCTCATCGCCACGTAAAAAAGTCGTAAGCAAATAGAAAAATTTAATTGTTCAAAGTTAAATGATATTATTGAGGACCAGCATGTGAGCAAGACCAATACCCAATTGTCACTTCCCGTGTGATCTATTGCTCTGAGTATTACGTGTCCATCCCAGCCTTTGGTGTTGTTAATTAGACCGTAAGTTAGCCACCATAGACGGGTTGAGACTTTTCTATCAACAAAGCTGCCATCCTCAATATTCACCTGTTGCTGAAACCTTTTGATTATATGCTATTTGATATCTATCTGAATAAAAATAGCATTCTAAACAATTGAAGAATCACACGTTACAAGATAAAAAAAAGGCACAGAGACGGTAAGAAATTAAAACCATCATGTTTTCAGTCAAAAAAAAGGCATTTGAATATCCGTAAATAAACCTCTCTCTTCTACTGACCAAGTATTTTCGATTGAAATTTAAAAGTCGGTTGGGTAGTGGGATGACATTTCCTTAAGTATTTTTTCCGATCAATATTATAAGAATGCAATATGTCTCAATACTTTGAAACCTAAAAACAAGCATTGAGACTTTGATGGGCTAAGGTTACAATTGGCTTTACCTCGATGTCCATTTTTATGGATGAAGACCACAATTGGTTTTCTCTGGCCAATAAAATATGAAAGAGAGAACCACGTCCCTGAAGCTTAGATTATCTCGATCCGAAAATTCGAATGAGGTGCCGACCTGGTTTTTTTCAACTTTTCAAATTCCCGTAATAGCCAAACCAAAGTTAAGCAATGCACAGACATTCACCCAAGCAGTGCTGGGACTTTTAGGAAAAACGAAATCAACCTAATTACGTCAGGAAAGAAAGCTAGAAACCATTAAATTAACTCAGCGAGAATAAAAACTAAAGTACTATTAACAACTTGGCATCAGACAGATCTAGGAACCGTTAAAATTAGCGTACTTACGATAAAAGTTTGTCAACAGTGTCTTACAACAACAGAATCTGAAAAGTTCCAACAGCAACTTCAATTTTTTTTTTTTTTAAAGCATCATGTTCAGGCCCTGAAAAGTTGAAATTATCAAAACCAGAGCCTTAATATCAATGCCTTGAAATGAAAACCGTTCTCAAGTTCCGAAGTCATGTCATCCGAGTGGTGGGAAACTTCCCAAACCTTATATGCTGAGTTAGTGCGGCTTCATTTAACCGAAAAGAGCAAAAACGCACATGATTTTTTGGCAAGTTTTGGAAAGCCCTCAATAATCAAAGATAATCAAACAGGCATTTGGTCTTGCGATTGCTCAGCTCGGAAAATCTTTTTTTTAATTAGAACAAATAAAAAAAATTAACCCGATAGACGATGACGCAGAAAAAGTGTCAACAAGAATTATAATGAAATCAATTGCCTCTATGACGACCATTGTGGAAAGCTCTATAATTTATGAACTTTATTTGACATCAGATCTATTACCTCCATGACTGTACAGCTACTTTAGCGCATCAATGGGATATATAAAGCTCTTTTACTTCAACACTCCTTTTTTTTTCTTCTTTTTTTTCTTTTGACATTTTTCTTCCTCCCATTTTTTCAGGACCAGACTGAGACCATACTATCGTCATGTCTTCTTCTCCTCTTCTTGAAAATGGAGCCTCTGATGCTCCCGTAAAGCGCAACTCTTGGGCATATGCGATTGTTGATGAAGTTGGCCTAGTCACACTCTTCAAGTCTTCTTGGGATGTTCATCTTCTTATCTTTATGAGATTTGCCCGTCTTTTTGCATTTGGCCAGGCATCCATTTTTCTTGCCTTGTTCTTCAAAGAGCTGGGTATTGACGAATCCAAAACTGGTCTTTTCATGAGTGCGACTCTAATTGGCGATGTTTTAATCTCCTACTTCCTGACCCTCTATGCTGACAGAATCGGCCGGAAAAAAACCCTTTGCATTGGTGCCATCATGATGGTTTTCTCGGGTATAATTTTCTCATTATCTGGAAACTTTTATCTTTTACTTTTTGCCGCTATTGTCGGTGTTATCTCCCCCAGTGGTAATGAAATTGGTCCTTTCCGTGCTATCGAGGAATCTACTCTTGCTCATCTCGTACCTCTCGACCATCGTCCTGACATTTACGCCTGGTATGCCGTTTTAGGTGCCCTCGGCGCCAGTTTTGGCTCTATGGCTGGTGGCTACACTGTTGAGCTCACGCACGATAAATACGGGTTCACTCTGCTGGAGTCATACAAGCTAATTTTTGTTGTCTACTCAATTATTGGTTTTGTTAAGCTTGTAGCTACTCTCCTTCTTACCAAGCGCACCGAGTCTGAGGTTGAGGATAGACCCGATGCCGCCGCTACTGAGACTTCTCCTCTTTTGCAAGACCCCAGCACCGAGGCTGCTGAGCCCGTCAAGCCTAAGCAGTCTAAATTTTCTTATCTCCTTCACAAGGTCCTTCCTGAGCTTTCTCACGAATCTCGTGGCATTGTCTTGCAGCTTTCCGTTCTATTTGCCTTGGACGCATTTGCCTCTTCGCTGACTACTGTCAGTTGGATTTCGTACTATGTCGCGCGAAAGTTTGATCTCAAGCAAGGGCTTCTTGGCTCCGTGTTTTTCACTACTGGCCTCATTTCTGCGTTTGCCTCGCTTGGCGGCTCTTCCATTTCCAAGCGTCTTGGCCCTCTTCTCACCATGGTGGTCACGCACCTGCCATCGAGTACTATTCTCGCCTTAATCCCCATTCCCAGCTCTTTCCATGCTACCATGGCTCTGTTGGTTATTCGCTCGTGCACGGCAACAATGGATGTCGCCCCGCGCCAGGCGTTCCTATCAATGGTTGTGCTTAAGCGCGAGCGTACTGCTGTCATGGGTTGGATCAACATTGTCAAGACCCTTGCACAAGTGTGCGGCCCCTCCATGACTGGTGCTCTTACCAAAATAAACAAGCAGTGGATTTGCTTCCTGGCAGCTGGTTCCCTCAAGGTTATTTATGACTTGGGTATCCTCGGCACATTCCTCAAGATCAAGTATGATAGAGAACACGATTAAGTGCTTTACTCTTCATTGTAGATTTCCATTTAACATATTTATATATCATCTCAAATAACCCATTTAATTTCATTTATATCTACAAAAAATATTTGATGTAAAGATAGACAGATTCTCTATCTATTCCAAAAAAAAATTAAAAGAAAAAGAAACTTCAAAAAAAAGTGCGTCACAGACAGGATTCGAACCTGCGCAGGTAAAACCCAATGCCTGGACTGCTGATAGATAGCAGGGCATCGCCTTAACCACTCGGCCACTGTAACACTTTTTAAAAATAAAACATTGTCCAAACATAAAACAGAAAACAACAGACCTTAAAAGTATTGCATTAAACTTAAATTTGCTTACTAAGCGTCCTGGGATGACGTTAAAAGCACCAGCTATCGAAAGATAGCAAACTACACGGTATAAACAAACTACGACAATAAGCCTACTAGGCTTTACTCGGCATATTCTTAACAATCCATCCTGGATGATTTCAATCCTTGTCGTGAGGAATGGATGACTCTGAGGTGGATGAAGGCAAAAACGAAGACGACGATTTGAAGACGGTATACAACAAACACGACAATGTCAATATAGGGACTACTTGTTACATACAAGTAGTTTATCTATATTGACCTCAGCTACTCTTAGCAACAAGGAATAATCAAAAACGACAAAAACCGAATCCTGGATACAGGACATCAACGCCCTCGAGAGGGCATTTGATGCTGGTGAAAAATTTTCAACAAGGCACGTGATTCATTATCCAAGTCGAAACTTGGGAATGAAGTGAATTTTTGGGAATACAAAAGACAAAGCATTCATCTGATGAAATGCTGAGTCATAACATAGGCAAAAACAAAATTGGTAATCCTCATAGTACTGAGATTCTCAGTGCGATGAATTACCAAACCAGGGCTACAAGTTATTGTTAGCTTTGGAAATTGAGAGATGAAAGTCTCTCAAATACACCGCAGTAAGGATTCTTTTT